AAAAACTTTACGGAACCCCACGGACCTCAACAGCATCAACACCAAGCCTGAAATAGACTTGGTGGTTGAGCAGCTGCAAGCTGCCCTGAAGCATGCGTTCTTCTGCACCACAAGGGTGAAGACCAATAAGATCTCGCCCATGGAGGAACAGTGCCTTGGAGGCAAGCAAGAAAAAAAGTCCACCAAGCCAACTAAAGATACAGGCGCGAAAAGAATCCTTTCACCAAGCATACTCAAAGAGGCTTATTTAAATCATCTCAGGGCTTATAAAACTCTTATCAATAAGACAAGGAACAAATCCTGGCAGGATTTCTGTACCTCTTCCAATGCACAGGGACCTTGGTCGGTCCCATTTTATACAGTCTTTAAAAAAGACAGGGCCATGTCGACTCCCCCAACGATCTTGACTAACTCTGGCTATACCACCAATCTAGCTGATACCTACAAGACCATCTTCTCGGAACTATTTCCATCTGATGATCCCACGGAGGATCAAAACATCCATAGCGTCATTAGGGAAGGCAGTGTAAGCCACACTACTTCTGTCAATGATATACCTTTCTCTGCGAATGAGATCTCCAGAGAATTTAATAACATTAAAAAACGGAAAGCACCAGGACCAGATGGTATAACTTTGAGGATGGCCCAACACGCCTATATGGCGATTCCTACAACCTTTTTGGTTCTCTTCAACAAATGCCTGAGCTTGGGCTACTTCCCCAGGACTTGGAAGGAGGCCTCTGTTAAACTGATCTTAAAAGACAAAAATAAACCTCAAAATGCTTCTTCATATTACCGTCCTATCTCACTACTGTCGATAGTTGGCAAGGTCCTGGATGCTCTCATGGCAAATAGAATCCAACACCACTTAGAAACCAACAAATGGTTGGACAACCGTCAATACAGTTTTAGGAAGGGCAGATGTGCCCCTCAAGCAATGGCCAAAATCATGGACTATGTCCAGGATGCCAAGGATACTGGGAATCATTCAATCATGGTCTCAACTGATTTTAAAGGTGCGTTCGACCACACCTGGTGGCCAGCCATCTTATACAAACTGGTTCAAGCCAATTGCCCACATAACATCCTAATGCTCCTAAGGAGCTACCTCTCAGAAAGGTCTGCAGTGGCCAATGAGAAGGGGAAAACACTACACAGGACTGCCATCTCGAGGGGTTGACCACAAGGCTCAAAATCAGGACCCCCTCCTCTGGAATATCTTGTACAATGGGTTGCTGAGGCTGTCTTCGGGCCATATCTCTATTGGCAACCCATACATGCAGGGTTACGCCGATGATATGGTCCTCCTCCTCTCAAGCTCCAACCAAACGACCCTACAGAACCTAACTAACAATTTCTTAAAAGAGATCTACAAGTGGAGTGTAAACCACCGGCTAAACATCAACTACAGTAAATGTTGTGCCATGGTCTTTCCGAAGGGTAACCTCCTGAAAAAGAAGCCAGTAATTAAAATTAATTATCACAGGATTCAAAACACAAATAACATCAAATATCTTGATGTGCTTTTTGACCCAAAACTCTCTTGGAAGGATTACACCTATTATACCTAAGCGACGAAGATGAACACTTTACTCCAGCATATCTTTAGGAACCTCTGGGGCTTAGACTCCAAGCAGAGCAAGACTATTTATAAAGGGGCTATTGAACCTATCCTCACATATAGATGTGAGGTGTGGGATGTGCTGTTCAGAAGGTGCACATCTGCAAAAAGCTCCTCTCTGCACAGTGCACCACTGCAGTTGCCATCACCAAGTCCTATAGGACTGCACCCACTGATGCCCTCCTCATCATTGCAGGGATGACTCCCATCCATTGGGTCATCCTGAAGAAATACCTGTTTCACAAGCTAAAGCAACTAGCCATATCAGAAATTGACATGGACCATTTGCAGTTTCTAATTAAAAAGTTTAAACTGTCTGCAGACATAAGTGTTCTAGGAAAATTCCTCCTGGACCATGGACTGGACATTAACTATGACTTGCATACCCATCATCCTGCCAATGACCCAGACCCCAACATCTGTCTCCATCAATCCACCATCCCACAAGGTATAAACTACTACACTGACGGATCCAAATCTCCAGAAGCTGTAGGCGCGGCTGTTATCCTCGATGACCCAATGAAGAAAACCTTCTGGCAAGGTGCGTATAAGCTGGATCCATCTTGCTCCATCTAAGCTGAGTCGCTAGCCATCCTTAACACCCTTAGACGTATCCAGGATAATATAACCAGTTACAACGGTAAAAACATTATCATCATCAGCGACAGTCGAGTCGCCCTTTATCAGATTCGTAAGCGTAATTGCCGCCTTCCCATAATCAAAAACAGCTTAAAGATCCTATATGAAATCTCAGATACTGTCAATATAAAATTTCACTGGATCAAGGGCCACTCAGGAAGCAGTGGCAATGACAAGGCGGACAACCTAGCCAAAAAGGCCTCCTCTTTATCCACGGTGTGTAGCTACTCCTCGATTCCCCTGTCCTGGGTTCAAGGTAAGCTGGACTCAATTTTAATGTCTTGCTGGCAGAAGGAGTGAGATGAAAGCTTGACAGGGCGTCTCACCCACAACTTTTTCCCCAGCATCTCTCATAGGATTAGCAACCACCATTTTACTACCAATCACATCATGACCCAAATTCTTACAGCACACGGCAACTTCAGAGCATAACTCTGCAGGTTCTTGAGGAAGGGGAACAGTTTGTGCCTTTGTGATACTAATGAGAACGAAGATCCAATACACCTAATCTTCATCTGCCTGGTTCACTCACGTCACCGTGCAAACCTTCATAGGACTTTGTGGAACGTGGATATCCTTGGCTGTTCAAACTATACACCCTTATTTAGGACCAGATAATCTATCAAGAATTCAAGACCTTTGTGGAACACCTGAAACTTACGCACTATACCACTACCAGCCCAAGTGGCATCTAATGGACAGCTCATCTTTTGAGTCAACAAGGACCCCTCCCAAAAAGGGACTCCTTACTTACTGCTTTTTTTTTTTCCAAGTCGACCTCATCTGACCAACTCCTCAAGGTATTATACTATGAGCCTTCTCCTTCCCTCTATATACAAATTGTTTTGCACGTGTATACCATCATATTTCCATGTGCTATCCAACAGCTCCCCTTTGCGACTCATGTCCTCCTTTTTCCACTTTCAAACCTCCAACCATCCCACCCTCCTAACTTTTCTTCAAATCACTCTCCTTACTTCCTTCACCCATCTTTCTTATCTATTAAGGCTACACCTTTGAGTACAGCCTTTTCTTTCACATGTATGTATGTATGTATCCAGTTGTTAAAATGGAACCAAATAAACTCCCAATTTTTCTAATGTGAAAAATAGATCTCTGTTGTTGCAGAGAAGCCTCCCCAAGGTTATTTGTTAATCAAAAGTTGAATGTAAGTTCTTAAATAGACTCATTTATCTCTATGCACATGCTATTCTTGTGCCTATGTTGGTTTAAATTTAACTTAGAAAATTTGAATTCCTTTCTGAATATTTAACATTGCATTTGAAAATACATATTCCATTTTTAAATATTTACTGTTCCATTTTTAAAATTTTAATGTTTCAAAGTTATGTTCTTTGCTAAAAAATGACATTGATAAAATGTCAAAAGTGCTTGTGTTGCTAATAAAAACTGTTTAATGCCAATAGACAGTAGTTATTTCTTGTTTTAATGGATAATATTTTGGCATGGTGATCTAATCATTTTTATACATATGGAAGTGCATAGTGTGATACCTTGACAATGCAAAAAAATACACTTCTCCAGCAGAAATTCACTGACAGTTGTAACACGTATGAAAAATATGTGAGACAAACCAAAATTGTGGAAATGAAATGATATACATAGTCTGAAAATCAGAGAACAGATGTTGAAGACAAACAGCAATCTGGATGCTCAGCATATCAATAATAGAGGATAGAACAATTCAAGATTTGTCTTTATGCTTATGTCCTTAATCATGAAAACAGATACCACAATGGCAGAACTGGTCATATCTTCAGTGCATGTACAGTACATGCTCTAAAGATATGTCCAGTTCTTTTATATGATGTGTTAAAATACAGGAAAGTGTGTGTCCCCTACAATTTGCTGATGAAAGAAAAGGCCATTTGAATGCATTTTTTACTGATGCATTTCCGATGATACCAGCAACAAGGTATCATTTCTGAAACAAATTGTCACAGATGTAAAAACTTTGTGACAATTGCATTAAGTTACAAACCAATGCTCAGTGTTTTGGGATAACCAAAATGTTCTACTAACGGACTTCCTCAAAAGAAGTAATTGTAAACATAAATTAGTATTGTTGGACAATGGACAAGTTATAGACTGCCATCTCCAGAAAATGATCAGGACTGCATTGTGATAAGACCTACAAGTGCATATATATACAACCTACATTATCATATTTGCAAGATACTATGTGGCACAAGACATTATCCAATGGTTTCAGCAATCCCAATTTTGCACTCTGTGATTATTATTTGTTTTTATCTTTCAAAGCAGCATTTGGATGCTTAACGTTATTTTATTAATACATTTAGTAAAAATACAATAATTGTACATTTCACTATTTACTCTATTTTAATTTTTTTCTCATCCAATATATATTCCTATTTTATAAAATTATAGTAATCAGGAATTAAAATTTTCTATTACTGATTATTCATTAATATTTTACTAATAATCACTGCATCCTAAAATAAAGTTATTTATATCTTAGGAAATAAAACTTACATCATTTTTACATATATTTCAATACATTTTAAATATTGATATTAATCAAAACATACTGTAATTAAAAAATAAAGATGTACCATAAAAATTAAAACATGTAGAATTATCAAAATTAAAATACAATAAAATGTAAAACATGTTCTAACGTTTCAGATTTTATTATGTTTCTTCTCTTAAAAGTATACTTTATAACCATATTTATTAGAAAAATGCTTAAAACTACCTGGACGACTTGGAGGTTCAATATATTCTTCAAGCTGTTTAATTTCAACTTCTATCTTCCTAATTGAGGGATATCTTATCTGCATCAGTTTCATTATCTTTTTTATGAAACCAACATAATCTAAATTTTAAAAATATTATCATTAATGCAATTTACTAATAAGTAATAAAACAAATCATTCAATAGCAAATATAAACATTTTAACTATACCCAATGCATTGCAATAACACACTTTCAATTGCCATATGTCATCAGACTACAATTTGGTAATAATTATTATAAATTACTAATGAATTTGAACCTAGAGGGAGGCATTAGGCACCATCTCATATTAAATTTAATAATTATAATTTTAATTAAATAATTTTAGATTAAACTGGAAGAAAAGAAATGGCCCAGAGTCTGATTTGAACCCACAACTGCCACTTACTGTGCAGATGCTACCCAGACCTCCAGTCCAATCTCCTCTTCCAGTATATTTATCATTACGATATAACCATTGTCAGTTACTATGGTGTCGACTGGAAACACATTCAGTGCCCTCATCCTGTAAACTTCCACTCAAGGCACTCAGTTGGCCATTGCATACCCAGCAAGGCACATATAAATTCATTATCAAATTCATTAGTAATTAATAATTATTATTACCAAATTATAGCTTGATGATATATGGCAATTAAAGGTGTGTCATTCAATAATTTAAGTATATGAACATAAACAGCCTTACATTTAATTAGCCAAAGATTTAATTAAACTTAGAATTTTAATGGAGTGAGATAACTGATTTTTACAATGTTACTTCAATCAAGTTATTTCCAGTTCCATCTTATATACCATATTATATCAAGGAAATTGTGTAATAATATTAAAAGCAGAGGTAATTCCTGTTTTGTGATTTTCCAAATTTGAGTTTTTTTAATTAAAAAAAATATAACTTTAGCTGCAATAAATAAGGCTATATTAAGGTAAGGCTGTAGTAAAGCATAATTATAGATTTCAAGTCCTGGACATAGCAATTGCTGTATGTACTGTACTGTGTTCAGTTTGTTCAGTTAGATGATTAGTAATGGATAGTGTCATACTTGTCTTCAAATGAAGATAAGAATGACACTATTTGTTATCTACATTCTATTATCAAATTATTAGCCTGTTGCTAATGAGTTTAAATGTGTTGATTTTCATTCTTTACTGTCATATTATTCAAATATGTATACATAGGTATCCCTCATTTAACACAATAGTGTTGAGTTTCCAGTAGATCGAAATCCACGGAGACAATAATTATATATATATATATATGTATAAATATATATTAAGGACTAAAACAATGACCAAACACGTGTACGAAAATAAAACAAAAAAAGTTTATTTTACCAGTACGATAACCGTGATTCCTACTACTCGAGTTAGACGATATATGATTCCTACCACTCGAGTTTACACTATATATTTACGTACTGTCAACTTAAAACTAAGAGTTACGTACAAAACTTGGATGAAAATTACATTACAAAATGTAAAACATGTGATGCTGGATAACTAGAATTGAGAAATAGTATATTTGTCAGCATGATGGCCTCAAAATATGGAACCGAAGGATATAGAGAAATAACATCGATTTTGTAAAAACGGTAGGAGTTACAGGGGAGGTTTCCTCCTACCGTTTTTACAAAATTGATGTTATTTCTCTATATCCTTCGGTTCCGTATTTTGAGGCCATCATGCTGGCAAATATACTATTTCTCAATTCTAGTTATCCAGCATCACATGTTTTACACTTATGTGAAGCTCTTAGCCTTATTACTCAAAATAATTACAAAATGTACGTCCCTCGTTGTTATCTCTAAATTTCCTTAAGAAGGAAATGGATTAAACTCTTGAACTGGAAAATGGTCTTCCTTTCTCACTCTTATTCTTCCGGCCTGGCCTTGAACCTTCATATTCTCCTCGATGGATCCAAAAACCAGAATTTCCTCGATTGTGAGAGTTCACTAATTTATACCTCCCGCTCTCCGGAAGTCAGCTTTACTCATGTGTCCCACCTTGGACCAATTAGAAGGCTTTTCCTAAGAGGTGACATCATAACACAAAAATACACGCGACATTGTACAAATTAAGAAAACCCAATACATACAAAACGGAACCAGAGACAAAAAAAAAATATTATAATAATACATAGTCGCGTAGTGCTACAATAGTTATGTTACAAAAAAGTATTGTTATGCAAATCCTTGCTATACAAAACAAAGGACTAATACAAAACAGATTAGGATCCAAAAGTTAACAAAAGTATACTATTCTTTTTCGTTACCAAGAAAAATATGTTTATTAAAGCAATCAATAATTTATTTCCAATTAATAATTAACTAACAATCACAATTAAAAATACTGTATTATGCATTAATATTCATTTTAGTTAAATGAGGGTATTTTCTTTTTGCAAAGTATTGTCATCTGAGATTTTTTGTTGATCTCAATTAGAAATATCAGCAATGTCTTCAATTTTTTATGTATAACAAATTAAAATATGTTATTAATCAAAAATTTGTTCTAGCGATCCAGGTTTGTTCAATTGAGGACCAAGATATTTTTTTTCCAGAATTTGTGTTCAATACCAAATTTTTTGAGTTGGGAACAGTTTGAGTACCAAGATACTGCCACATTTCATTTGTCATTTTTACAAATGATTTGACATGTTGAAGAGTGAATTCTGTACAACAAGTCATCATACTCCCATCATAAATCAGCCTCCTCCTGAATGCAAGGAAGTCATTCACTGGGTGAAGAAGCCATGGGATTCAATTCCTGAAGACCTCATCAAGCATTATTTCAAAATCTGCATAATTAGAAATGCTCTCAACTTGTAGAACAAATTAATCTCTATGTTGAAAGGTATTAACAGTCTTCTAAGCCATTGTAAGAATGAAATAGCCTGCTTGTGCTTGGAGCTTCTGAGTCAGTCCATAGGACCAGAGATGAATTAAGAATACCTGGAAGATGAGGAGAGACAGCAGAACAAGCTATGCATAAATGATTCTGACAGTGATTAGTCAGACTATTGAGAAGATCAAACAGTAAGATGAAGAAAACAATCAATCATTTTTTATTGTTAATTTAAGGTACTAAGAAAAAAAAATGTATCAGGTTGTTTGTTTATTTATAATCATTAAGTAATGCTATATATGAGATTTCTGCCCCAACAAAACAATATCCCATAAAAATAGAAACATCAAGTGACAAAAAGCAATAAAAGTGTAACCTGTAAATTATTAAAAATGAAACAAGATATAAAAATTTACAAAAGTTGTTTTTATCAATATAATTTAGCAATAGGGAGCCTAAAGTTGTTTTTTCATTTCTGGCTAAAAGCCATCTATTAACTGTATTACCATACTGGTAAAACAAAATATAGTAGTTAAAATAAACAACAGTAAAATTAAGTTTCAGGCCTCAAATAATTGCCAGCATTGAATAAATGCTGGGGATTTTGACCCATGCAAATAAATAAGCACCCAAGTGCTAATTCAAAGAAATACAGTATATCATAACTTCAAATGGACAATGATATAATTGAACTGTTTTAATTTTAAAAATACATAATAATCAAAAAAGCAATAGTCATCTAATATTTCAATTTTTGCATTTTTTTTTTCAATATTTGAATACTGTATTAATGTTCCAAAGTTTATAGAAAACATCATTGTAACATTACGTCATTGATGCAATGTTTCTAAATTTATCATTTTCTCTTAAAATATTTTAATACAATAGCATATTTAGCCTAAATAATATGAAATAAATGATAATTTTTATTATATAATTTTTTTAAAAAATTTAGCTATTAATGTAATAGTAAATAATTAAGAAAGTTTTCTCTACTGATTTATAAATTTAGAATCATTTTCCCATTTTTTGAGAGAAATGCACTTTTTATTTGATTGTTAAATTTATCAATAATTAAACAATATTGTTATAGTTGCTTTGCAATCTTGTAGAATTTTAAATAAATAAATTATTTTATTTAATATTTTAGCTGTAAAGAAAAAGAACAATCCAAAAGAGAATGCAAGTTATTTAGCATGTATTTAGTATAACTTAATTTATTCAGAAACTTGGATAATTTGGCAGCAACTTTTTCATATTTGGTCAATCTAACTCCTGATATCTGCAATATTAATTTATCACACACACATATATAGGCTTACCATAATATTTTTTTCTCAAACCGGGACAATTTTGAGAAAATACAATAGAAAATAAAGCTTACTAGGATAAGTACTTATGATTGAAAAGGCTACATAAAAAGTTGTTAACAAAAAACAATGAGTTAAAAGCAATTTTTAAAAATTCAATTGAACATACCTTATTATTAAGTTGTTAATATTTATCACTAGTGTGAAATTCTTTGTCACTTAAATCGGTACCTTTAAAATATGACAATATATTTCAGAAAGTTCCTATTGCCTTATGTTTCACACATTTCAAATAATTTTTAATGTTTGAATGCCCACCACAAGCTACTGAAAATTCTGAAACAGTTCTTATTTTACTTTGTCAATACGATCACAAACATTTTCAAAAATGGATAATCCTTTTTCAATCATCAGTAAACACATTGTTTCTTTCTGGCATTTTGGAGATTAAATTAATTTAATTTATGTTACAAAATGATTGCAAAAGCTGACTAGAAATTTGAACCTGACTAAGATAAGACGTGCGCAACAATGATGTGGTCAGAATAAGTTTGTCTTGTCAACTCTAATTGAAACAAAATATCTAAAAAATGAAATTAAAATATCTGGATCTCATAGGCTACATGCTATTATAAATTCTGTGAAAAATATCTGGATGAAAAAATAAAACATCTAAATTCATTAGGCCACATACTATAAATTTTAGGAAAAAAGCTAGACAACGTTAAAAGTACTTAGATCTAGATACAAAATATTTAGATTGGCAACAGTGAATGTAACAGAGGGGATTATTTAGTTGCAAAATTGCCATTTTACCTGAGGCTGCACTATTTTTACTTCTTGTATATTCGGCACTTTTAAAATTTTACCAAATAACCAGGACAAAATGACACAACTGGCTGGGATGCAGGGACATCATCAAACCAGGACAATCCTGGTCAAAACAGGACGTCTGGTAAGTCATATATATATATATATATATATATCATGCCGACATTAGTAAGTGAGTATCTTTGAAGATCTTTGTTTTATTATCATTCAATAATATTCAATTTATTAATCATACTATATTAATACTTTTAATTATTTATAACTTGTAACCTGAGAAATTGGAGAACAAAAATTTTTTTAAACTTACAAGATTTTTATTAGCAATATTACCTCTTGGAAATTCACAAGGAGTAATTAATTCTTTGAAAAATTCTTGAGCTTTTCTCATTTGGTCTGGTTCAGAAACATCATCTTTAAACCAAAATCGAAGTTGCCTGCTTTCCTATTTTAAAAAAATATATATATATTTTAAATATTAAAATAACATCTTTCATAAAATCATTTTGTTTTAATTCCTGAACACTTTCTACATCTTAAGTTCTGATGATGAAGAGAAAATTAAAGATACAAATTAATTAAAGTATTAGGCATACTACATAAGATTATATAAATAAATTGGATTTGCAAATTAATATCCAACTGATTTTATTTCAAACAGATGTAGTAATGTAGCTCAAATAAATAGCATGTTTCACACAACTTATATGACAACCATCTATTGGACAAAGTATGAATTTCCAGGGCTTAATTTCCTGCCTTGTTATTAGATACAGTATCACCTACTTACAAACAGAAAATTATGATAAAGTGTCTCATAAAGAAAGGTACCAAGTAACATGAACTTTTAGCAGTATTCAAAAACAGTAATATAGACAATACACCTGTATTTGAATGATGCAGTCACTACCACAGTGGCTGTGAATCCATTGATGACAAGTCTCAAGCCAAGTTGACTTAAGTATCATTGCTACAGATGCAATATGCAGTGCTGAAGAGATGATTTTGAATGATGATATGCAGGGACAGATCTAGGTTTTTCGGGCCTAGGGCTTTTGGAAGTCCAATGGGGCCCTATTTTTTGTTAATACAAATAATACTATAAATTATCATTATTATATTATTAATATTAACTATTTTTACTATACGATAAATGCTCATTCTTAATGAAAGAGTATTATAAATTTATGATAATAATTCAATTTTTGTGGGCCCTTGATACTTGGGGCCCAGGGCTTAAGCCCTATTAGTCCCTATGTAGATCCACCCCTTAATGGTATGGCACTGTATACTGACATACATAAAGTAATATTTTATACTGACATCATTAAAAGTTCTGTGAACATTGTGAAACTTTCCATGCTGTACCGTGTTTCCCCGAAAATAATACAGTGTCTTATATTAATTTTTGCTCTGAAAAACGCACTAGGTCTTATTTTCAGGGAATATCTTATTTTTTCCAGGAAGACGAATTCACATTTATTATTGAACAAAAAAATTTCCAAGTTGAACTTAGACGACAGTGACGTATATCTGGTGTGTCGAACTGTCGCCTTTTTATAGTGTCAACATCGGACTCGATGACCAATTAGTGCTTACTGAACCGTAGCACTATGCAAATGTCATGTGGCGTAATTCCCAGCCGACCAATTAGCCATCACCAGCCGTAACATTATGCAAATCTGTGATTCCCAAGCCATAGTCTTATGCAAATCATGCCGTGTGGCGTGATTGTCTGCTGACCAATCAGTGGCTGTTCTTTTAAAAAGCCAACGGCCACTTTCAACCATCTGTCGATGACCGTTACAACTAAAAAAAAACTTCGCTAGGTCTTACTTTCAGGGGGAGGTCTTATATTTCGCAATTCAGCAAAACCTGTGCTAGGTCTTATTTTCTACGGATGTCTTATTTTCGGGGAAACACGGTAGATAGCACAGTTCAATAGAGATGAATAACAGAAGTGCTGAATTTTGAATAAAAATAGAAAGACTGGGGATTTAACAGAAACTACTGCAATAATTTGATATTGAAGGTGATAATTTTCTTTATCATATAATTACTACAGATCAGACATGAATTCATCATTGTGTGTCAAAAACCAAGAAAGCTTCAAAAGTAGCAGAAACAAACAGATTCTTCCATCTTTCAAGAAGTTCTATAACTACCCCTTGGCTAATAGTCATAGCATTGGTCTTCTGAGTTTAAGGAAGTGTAATGCATGTCAATTTTCCAAAGAAAAGAGATATTCCATGTAGCCAACTACTCTAAACTATTGCCTGGGAAAGTCTGTAGGACTATATAAAAGAAATCAGAGTTGTAAAGGATAAAAAATAATGCAAGGCTGCATAAACTAAGAAGATTATAGAAGATCTTACCGAAATGGGCTAAAAAGTATTGCCTCATCCTCCTTAAAGTCCAAACTTTAACCAAGTTTTTATTATCTGTTTGGTTCTATCTGAAAACTTTTTCTGCCTATCTTCTTGACAGAAAAAAAATCTGCAGATGATGATTGGGTAATGCTGCCAGAATACAGATACTGGTGGATCAATGGAAAAAAAACCCTGGAAGTGGGGAGACTATCCACATTTTGATGAGATAACTTAATCTTTTTTTTTTTATAGAATTATTGCAGAGAAATTTGCATATATTGTCAGGATGATCAGCTATTGGATGCTTTTCACATGATAGCTGAATGTTCTAATTTAGAAAAAATTCAGGAAAGTGTGTTTGGTATTTCTATTATTCCATTTGAAAATTTTCTGGACCTTATCAGTAATTTAAGTAATTTTGATTTAATTAATTTTGTTCAAAAGATTAAATTATTTTTTAGGTAATCATATGTTGATTTACTTTGTTTCAGTGATCCTTTTGTATGGAGTGACATACATTGTTTGTTTTTGCATATTGGAGTATTCGATTATTGCCGAAAGGTAACATTTGCTTTTCCTTTAAAAGTGTGCTCGTGGCTAAGAAGTGTTGGGAGACTATCCATATTTTGATGAGATAACTTAATCTTTTTTCTTTTATAGGTGGGTGTAATTAATGTTTATTTATAATGATGTTTTTGTTTGGATAGTTCTTTCCATGATTTTGTTATATGTTTATTTTTGAATATTTTATTTAAATATTTATTTTTGGTATTTACAATAAAATTTGTATAAATTGTTTTTATTTATGCATGTTAATTTTCTTTGTAATGTCAAAAATGTCAAACGAATTGTAATATTTTTCTTTTGATGTGTAATGTATGTAACAATTTTTGTATACCCGCATCATGGGTTTTGCCCAGTATGTCTAAATAAATAAATAAAAACCCTGGAAGTGGCAAGGGTCTATGTCAAAAAGCAGTGTTTGTAATATCTTTCTATTCATAATATTTCTGAAGCAATAAAATCAGTCTGGACATTACTAATATTTATTGGACAATCCTCACAGAATTTAATATTTTTGGGAAGTAATAAAACCACAACTGAAACAAGTAATAAAACTATCACCATAAAAACTCCAGCAAAGTAAATGTATTTGAAAAAACTTTTTGCCCATAGATCTATTTAGAATTGCCTAATGAAGACCTTTAAAAGATCTTCATCAGGCAATTCTAAATAGAATATCAGATATGTTAAGAGAACTTAGTAAAAAGAACAGAATTTTAAAAACAGAATGTTAGAAAATTTAAAATGAATATAATATTCAAAAAGTTTTGTAACAAGTCAAATGCTAAATATATTATTATTTATTAGCATAATGTGCAGCCTAGCTCCACATAAGCACTGCCTGTTACTAATACAGATGCAATAACATGTAATTACAGAAGATATAAAAATTAACACAAAATGAAAGAATAATACAGTAGAACATAAAGCGATAAATATAAACAGACAGTGCCATGGCAAAGTACCATCTACAATAATACACATGACGAGTAACAATGCCACCGATACATAGAAACAGTGCATGATATACAGTGATTAAGAGTAGGAATGATACATTTATAAAAAGAGAATCAGCAATGACCACAATGAGATACAAAGGTGAGCTTGTGGGAGACCTGAATGATGATGTTAAGGTGAGATTATATCATAGTTCTTTATTGTTGATCAGATGATGGCAGTCACACGGCCAGTTGAGTTCACTGTTCAAAATTGTAAAATAAAGAAAATGCTGTTGGTGACTTAACATGGAGCAGTCAAAGATATAATGATGGCTGCCGTCAGGAACGTCACTATCACATAATGGGCAGAGGTCAGAGTCTCCAAGGGAGAAACAATGTAAGTAACTATTGAAATGTCCATGATTGGTAAAGAACTGGGTGTTGAAGTGACTAGGGGTGAGCCAGGTTGCATGCAGAGTATCTTTGATGGATGGGAAAAAGCAGAAGGCAGTCTTATTGTGGTTGTTGCTCCAATATTGCTGCCAGGTGTTAATTAGGTCCTCCCAAAGCTTGCTGAAGTAAACAGCAAAGGGGAGCTTGTTGTAGGTGATAACAAGGGTGCCATCAGCACTAGCAGACTTGGCGAGCAGGTCCGCATGCTCATTTCCAAGAATACCATTGTGGGCTTTAATCCAACTAAAGGAATAATTATTGTTTGAAGTGAAGTGATATCTTTGACTGCTCCATTTTAAACCACCAACAGCATTTTCTGTTTTGCAATTTTGAACAGTGAACTCAACTGGCCGTGTGACTGCCATCATCTGATCAACAATAAAGAACTATGATATAATCTCACCTTAACATCATCATTCAGGTCTCCCACAAGCTCACCTCTGTATCTCATTGTGGTCATTGCTGATTCTCTTTATAAATGTATCATTCCTACTCTTAATCACTGTATATCATGCACTGTTTCTATGTATCGGTAGCATTGTTACTCGTCATGTGTATTATTGTAGATGGTATTTTGCCATGGCACTGTCTGTTTATATTTATCACTTTATGTTCTACTGTATTATTCTTTCATTTTGTGTTAATTTTTATATCTTCTGTAATTACATGTTATTGCATCTGTATTAGTAACAGGCAGTGCTTATGCGGAACTAGGCTGCACATTGTGCTAATAAATAATATTAATAATAATAATGTGGTGTTGGAGACAACTTTTGTGCATTTTGTGCATTCCATGGATAGTGCAAATCACCAACAAAACTGTCTTAGACAGAGTCCAACCGATAATCTCACTGGAAGCCCAGATAACCAAACAAACTGTCCTGTTTTTGGTCATATAATGAGAACCAGCTCCCTTGAGAAGGTGATTATGCTGGGGATGGTTAGCAGGAAAAGAGCGCAAGGCTGACCAAGGACTCGTTGGCTCGACACAATCAAAAGTGACACTGAATTATGTATAACAGAATTGAAGAAGACTGTGCAGGATAGAGAGGCATGGAGAGCTTGGATCCATAAAGTGACTGAGAGTCGGACATGACTAAATGGATAAGAAGAAGACATGCATTAAAACTAAATTATAAATAAAATCTAACAAATAAATAAACACTGAGCTAGGAGTCTCAGATCTCCAAGCATTAGAAATGCTTTCAATATTGTTAATATTTATATATCTCTAAAGCTATATCCGACTCACCAAATAAACCATATCCAGTTCATAAGCCAGCAGAAAAATTCTTTCTACGAATGTTTTCGTCTATATGTAATAGACATCCTCAGGTATTGACGATATCAAATTAACGACTAGTCGAATAGAACGTTTTTGAAATATTTTACATATTTTAATTTTAACGCATCATATTCGAATTACGTCATTAAACGGAACTTTCGAAAACGTTCTATTCGACTAGCCATTAGTTCGATATCGTCAATACCTGAGGATGTCTATTACATATATATGAAAACGTTCGTAGAAAGAATTTTTCTGCTGGCTTATGAACTGGATATGGTTTATTTGGTGAGTCAGATATAATTAAAATTAAATAACCAGTTTTTTGAAATACAATATATCTCTAAAGCTTTTAGCCCTTTTAATTCCAACACTTTATGAGTGAGTCTTACAAAATAAGCTTCCTAAAGATAAACATGTGTATCAGGAATCATAAGGTAGACACCAAGACAGTTGTATTTTCTTAATAGTCATTTCATGTTCCTTGAATCTTACCTGGAGCAAACAAAGTGACTCCCACATATACTCAAATTTCAACATAAAATCTATGATCCTTAATAGAATTGCTGTAAATTCAGGAAATTCTGTATTGATTAAGCATTCCTTTGAAATGTTTATCTTCAGGAAGCTTGCAAACATGATCCCAAACATGTTTGCATGTTTCTTTTCTTAAATAAAAATTTCCAATAGATGAGAATTACAATAAATTAATCAATTGTTTTCATTTTAAGACAACAGTACCCAAAGAGAAGGCACCAAATATTTCCTGTAATTATTACTTGTAAGAATATTAAAGTATTTGTAAATAATAAATCTAATTTGACGTGAAACTTTGATTTGCATAGAAATATGTATGATTAAAAGTTATATATGTAATGAAATAAATTAACTAAATAACTTATAGGCCCATTATGAGAATTTATCCACTTGTTCAAAAATTTATAGATTTATTGTTCACAAAATCAGCAGATTTGTAAATAATAAATCTATGTGGCTTACACAATTCTGTCCAAGGAATCCAAAAATGTAATAAAAAATGGGAGTCCATGACTTCATTTTAGATATATATAATGTCATAGCACAAGCATGCATAACAAAGTGATGTCTTGCAATGTTTCATGGTTGCTAGCATGCTTCTATGGGCTTATAGAATTGAGCTTGTTTTTAAAATTTAATGGACTGATTTTGATAAAACTTTGCCACTTTCATTAATAGCAATGAGGAATCCAAAAATGTAATGAGGATCCATTTAAATATATAAAATACCATGACTTCATTTTCAACATACAGAGGTATTAAAGTGACAAAGTCAGTGCTCTCTGATGCACTGAGCACATCTAATGGAATTTAGACCTGGGGGTCAAAAATAAAAACAGCATTGCATGTGCCTAATGAAAAATAGGCACAAAAATGAACAAAACACAGAAACAAAGCAACCAATGGCAATTGTTTTGTTCTTGGATCATCTCTGTGTCAAGTACAAAGATCATCTTTCTGTACCCAGCCAGTGCAAGGATCACATCTACCATGGCCAGCAGTAAGTGCAAAGTTCACCTGAGGCAATCCTTGTACCACATTTGTCAGGTACAATGATCGTCTCTTCTATGTTTAATAGGTGCAAGGATTGTTTCTTCTTTTCCGGCTCCATCTCAATTCTATCACAATATGACAGTCATATGATGTCGTAGTTACTATTACTAATGGCATACAATCATACTGATCATTTTATAAGTATTCATCCAGTCACCAAACATATTTTTATGCTTTACATGAGAATTGAAAGCAATGTTAGTGCCTTATAAAAAAATTCATAAAGATGTGAACAGAAAAATGGTCCAGCCTTTGACTTGGTTTTTTTAAGAAGAGTTCTGATGCTTGTCAATCAGTTTGAAACAGTTGAGATTTGCCATTTTAATTATACTGTTGTATTTTTGATAAACATAATTATAATAGAGGAATAATATATATTATATAATTATATGTTATATTAAGAATTATTTCTCTATTATGTAAGTGTTGCTATACTAATAATTTAAGAATTACTTACTTTTGTATGAGTATTATTGACAGCATTTGTTAAAAATACTTTAAATTCAAGACTTAAATTGGGAGGAATAATATCCATATCACCTAAAATTAAATATAAAATCAAATATAAAATCAGTTTGTTTTTCTATATAAAATAGCAAAATATATAAAACTTTAATTCATATATTAATGTGCATCAAAATAATAATTCTATTAAAACCATTTAAAATATTAAATATATAAAATATTAATAATATGTGTGAATTTTGAAAATAACTGTAGCAGATAATTCACAAAAACTGTTCTTCCTCAGTTATAGAATATAATGGAATGGAAGAATAAAAGAACATAAATACAAAGAATTATCAAGATCAGTTTTTATTTTATTAAATTCATTGTTGGAATTATAAAGGTGTAAGTTTTTGTGAATTAAAAATATCTTTATAACAACAATTGATTCAATAGTTAAATGTTCTCAAATATCAAATTCCATATAATTTCAGTTTTTATAATAGTTATGAGGCACTATCTGATAATAACCATTTCATCATAAACTAGAAATTTATGATATTTATAACTTTTCCTATTTTAGATAGGAAAACAAATATAAAATCACAAAGTTTTTGATTTATATAAATATAAATATTAAGTTTATATTAACTTAAACTTTATTTTTAAAAATTTTTAAAGTTTTATAATATACAGTGCATGTAAAGTTATTTGTATAATGCAGTGATTCTCAAACTTTTTCGATCCACCGCCCCTTTGTTCCATAAAGTAATACCCAATGCCCCCTAAACCATTTTCTCTTGTGTGAGAAAAGGATTGGAAATATTCTTAGGAAAACTTTTCTATGAATCTCACACTTTGTGCCCTTACCGTACATTGTTCTCAACATCTGGAAACCATTAAAGGCAATGTTTACTCTTATCGGCCCCAATTTTGCCTTTGGTCACCGTTCAATACCCTGCCTCCAGCCCCCTTAGATCTACTCATCGCCCAGAAGGGGGCGTTATTGCCCACTTTGAGAAATGCCGAGCCAAAATATAAGTCAATGTGTTAGAAATATTCAAGTTGTGACCTTCAATAAAAAATAAAAAATATATAAAATGTCAACATTTTATATATATTCCGTCGAATTTTTATATATAGAATTTGTCTGCCGTCGCCCCTCTATATTTCCTTAACGCCCCCCAATTCTCTTTGAGCCTTCTACTGCCCCCCTGAAAGCCTCCAGCGCCCACAAGAGGGCGTTATCACCCACTTTGAGAAACGCTGGTATAATGTATAAATAATTTTAAAATGTTGAAAAATATATTTATAAATATAGTAACATCTGTAATGCTTCTTGAATCTAATGAACTACTCTACAGATCTTTACAGTTTACAAATTTCTACAAAGAATATGATTTATAGTTCCAGCCTTAACTCTTTTTACTTTTTATTGATTCATTCTCATAAAAAGTTTTATTTTTACAAAAAATGATAATATTTACCTTTCTTGCTTTTCATTAGAGGCAGCACTATGAACTTCAATTACTCTCTTTTTACAATAATATAGTCTTATAAAAATTTTATAATTTGTTTTTAATGCCAGTTTCCATGGTGTTTTTATTAATTAGTTCATAGTCATAACAAAGTTTAATGTGTTAAAGTTAAATAAAGGTGAATATAAAAATTCTTTGAGTTTTTGAAACGATTTGAAAGTCCTGTCACTTTCTAAATATTAATAGAATGGTTCAAAAGCATGTGTTTTTTTCAACTTAAAACAATAATTTTTTTAAAATTTCATAACAAAATGTTCTTTTGTATGTAATAGATATGTATTATATCAATGGTGCGGTTTCTTTACATTCTTGTAAAAGGTCAATTTTTCAAAGAAAATATTTCCTCAAAAAATTGATGAAACTTCATGGGTTAATTCCTCAGAAATAACTGCCATTTTTTTGCCTTTAATTAGAGCCTTTAGCTCCACCCATTTCCTCCCACACGTTGTCAACCTCCATTCCATCATTTAGGTTTATGGTTTTGTTTTTATTAACAATTGTTAATAAAAAGCTAAAGGGAAAGAAAACAAAAAGAAGGGAAAATGGTCTAAAAATGCCTTAGGGGACACAACATCAACACTGTGCAGATGTATGTCTAAACATAAAACAGGTTAGTTAACTATTGTGTAAATATATCCAAAATTGTTGTAATTTACTGTAATAACAAATATAATAATCAAATTTACCAATTTCTAGAAATGTAAAACCTGAAGAGGGGTGCAAGTTACACAAAAATATTGCACCCGAAATGCACAGTAAATAAGTAAATAAAGAATACAAAGATAAGATTTTGTCTCTGATTAAATGTGGTCTAGGCAAAAAAACAGCGGTTATTTCTGAGGAATTAACCCATGAAGTTTCATCAATTTTTTGAGGAAATATTTTCTTTGAAAAATTGACCTTTTAAAAAAATGTTCTTTATCAAAAAAATATTATAGAATATATCATTCAATATATATTTATCTTTGGAATTTCCCAAAATGTATAAAACAACATATTGAATGAAAAAAGTTTATATGTCTATTATTCATCTAGATAAAACTAGTAGTCTTAATAAGTTTAAGGAAATGAAATTATTATCTCCACAATTTCTATTCAAACTAATTGAACAAATATATCAGAAGCCATTCAAACAGTCAATTTTTGATCATTTTGAAATTCCTTTAGTTTTTGATGCAGAATATTATCTAGTTTCACTAGTAAACAATTTACATTATTGTTGGCTGCCAAAAAGATATGCAGTCTGCTTTTATATCATGTAACTAATAGACATTCCTATCTTTTCAATTGTTGCCACATCCCTTTTAGCATCATTCTAATGTATAAACACAAAAAACACACAATTCAAATTACAGTTGGTTCCTGCTTAACATTTTCTTTTACAAGAAAACTAAGTGACTCATCAAGCCAGTTTACTTGTGAAAAACAAAAGATGTTTCACTTATTCACAGTGTTGCATGTTATTCTGTGGAGATGGATGGTTGTTATTCATCTGTGGCTGTATGCCATATTAGTGCATATATTAATTTAGGTATAGTTTTAGTCTTCTCCTTTGTTCTTTATTTCTTCTTCCTTCCAGAACTTTCCTTTCTAACTCTTTTCTCTTGAATGGGGTGACTGATTCTTGGAACCATGGAGAACAATGAAAACAAAAGAGGTCCTGGGGGCTGGTCGGTGAGATAAGGGAAGGCTATTCTTTGACCCAGACCTCTAGGTGGACAGAGTCGAATGTGGTACTCCAGGTCATGAAAGGCAACAACTGGAGAATTCAAGAGAGTTTGAGAAGAGAATTGAATGTTTATTGTAGTTATGATAAGAAAAGGTGTAGTAAGTAGATGCAAGAAGAAACCTAGTGAAGACAACAACGACAGACTTTTCAGAGAAAGTCTGTCGTTGTCTTCACTAGGTTCCACCCAAAATTGTGAAGTTCAGCAAAACCCCAGGTACTTCACTCCTTACTGTATTCTATTTTTCCAAATTCTCTATTCCCTATCATCATCTTTCTTTCCCTAGTTTTAAGTTAGCACATAGGTATTAGTCATAGTTTTTGGTCACCATTTATACTTGTCGCAAACAGTTTTGTAATTGTCTGCCAAAATATTGTTTGGCGCTGTATTGTAATAAATTACTGCGAAGTTGGAATCCAAAAAAACCTGTTCACATATGCAAAATAAAATACTTTGTTTGACTATACTATTGCTTAGTTATCAATACATCTTTCCTTTGTCAATCTACATATATTTCACATGAACGTCACACATCTATAGTAGTGATTTTCAATTGGTGTGCTGCAAGAGGATCATAGGTGTGCTACAAAACTTTTTTGAAGGTTATTAAATAAATTATTTTTCAAAGAAGTCCAAAGAACAATAAGTGTACATGTCAAAATTAAAACCTGTTTAAATTAATTATTTATTATAACAATGAAAAACTCATATAAACATACGTAATGATACATAATGTAGTAAAAAACTATATATTCATAAGCAAAATTATATGTGCATAACACTGGGTTATTTCATTTAAAATGAAAAATGTATTTATAATTGTCCATATTTAGTCAAATTATTTTAACTTAGAAATAGTAGGACATTGGGCAGGTTTCTAAAGGCAATTATCATGCCAGTTTTAAATGCAAATTAAGACCTAATGTTAATTTTCATTTACGTAAGAAAGTAATTAATAATTTAAACAACTACTGTTGTAACCTGATGCTATTTTAAGGAACAATAATACTGTTTTATTTAATCCACAAAAAATATATATAAAGAATTAGGTAAAGTGACAAGTAATATGGCAATGGAATGTTTACAAATACAACTTTAAATCACATGATTTTCCCACAAATTTAATTATAAATTAAAGTGTGCCATAAGATAAAAAAAGGCTGAAAAACACTGCACTATAGTTAATTTTTTTCATTAAATGTACCAGTACTTCCTATATTATCATTTTTACTACTAAATGATATGCATTGGTTAATATTTTGATATTTTGTAAAATGGTAGCATGCAGAAAGCTATCAGTTGATGAAGCTATACATTTAATAAAAGATAATCCCATGTCAGAAACACATAGTTCTGATGCTGAAACCAAAGAAAATGAATCCAATTTAAAATTGCCATACTATATAATCACCATACTAATATAATCATATCTGTTTTAAATTGAGGAAAAAAAAAATGGGCATTTCATTCTAATTTTTTAAAAGATTTTTTTCTTTTAATGATTATTCTGTTGTTTCATGTTAACAAAATTACAAAGAAACAAATCCCAAAATATTATGACTGATATTATTGGTTTTTTTTAATGATTTTTTGAAAATAAGCAAAAATCCCAATCTGCACAGGTATTCAGAAGGGTTTACCTCAGTCCAGAAAGTGTTAATCAACTTTTAATTAAAATCAGATGATTCAACTATATTACAAATCATCATAGTTATAAAAAATTTTTTAAAAATAAATACATAATAATTACAGTATTTTTAATTTATGATAAACAATATATTTTAAACATTGGAGATTGGATTAATAAAAACCAAAAGTAAATCTAAATATACAAAAATTTAATTAATAATATCTTGAAATACAGTGGAACCCCGGTTAACGAACTTAATCCGTTCCCCGACTCCGTTCGTTAACTGAATTGTTCGTTAACCGAAGCAATTTTTCCCATAGAAATTAATGCAAATGCAATTAATCCATTCTAGTCTCCGAAATTTTTGTCATTTTATTTGTAATATACAGTAATTTTCTTTGATGAAAATGTAGGAAAATGTAGTATCTATCATTACAGCAACAAACATGTAAACTTTGTTTAATAAAATAGCACTGTTTAATAAACTAGCACTGTAATAAACTACAACATACCTTCGTTTGTTGTAGTTGGTGGCAGAAAAGTGGAGGAGATATACAAACCTTAATGCTTAGAAGGGGAATCCCCTCCAAAAAAATAACGGGTAGCACTTCATCGGAAGATTCTTCGAGTCGAAGTATCTTTCGGTAAAAAAAACCCACCAGTTGCTAAGTGGTCTTCTTTGAACACGGGGAGTTCGTTCGTGGGTTCGCACCACGCTCAGACGGGCTGGCCATGTGGAGTTTTCCAGGATTTCCCCACGTCTGTAACACCTAAATAGGGGCCAGTTTTCCTTAAAAATACCTCCCAGAAGGCATTCCCTCTAGTCAGATCGCCCAAGTGTTGCGTTGCCATAACTTAATAAAGAAACAAACTCTTATCGTAAGGAACAAGAAATTGATCTAAAGTTGATTGTCTTACTCTTTTAATCAAAATTTTTCTCAAATGTGATAACGCATTGTAGTTTATATTGCGTTGTTGTTTTCTATTGCCACTATTACTTTTTTCTTTTTTGGATGCCATATTGATTAAATATATAAATCACAAAACTGAAAAAAAAGTATAGCACAAACATTCGGAAAAGCAATGCTTAACTCGCGCATGCCTAACACCAACTAAAATTTGACACAAAATACCATTACGTTCGTTATCCAAGACAAAATTTTTGCAAAATAAAAGTTCGTTAACCGATTTGGTCGTTAACCAGGACGTTCCTTAACCGAGGTTCCACTGTACATTTTCTAAACTAAAATTCAAGCAACTTAATTAATTTAATATATAAAACTACCTGAAACAGCTTCCTTATTAATAATAATTCCTTTATGATCTCCACCAGCTACATGCATTACACTACTATTATCCATTTCTGTCGGTTTAACACGTTCCATTCGTATAGTAGTATGTCCATGACTTTTTTTACTTGGTGTCATCACTATGCGCTCTAAAATGAATAAATAGTTATTAATTACTTTGTTATAAAAATTTAGAATAAAGATCAGTTAGAGATATTATGCAATAGAATACAAAACAACTATCTCTAAAAATAATAATGCATCTCTCTTTATATCTTTACAAAGCACATTATATTTGAATAAAGTAAAAATAGCATTATTAACAGCTATTCAAAACTATAAAAATTTTATCTTATTTTTTATATTTTATATTTATATTTTAATTAGTTAATTTAATATAAATTAACTAATTAAAACTTATAATGAAAGTAAAATGACTATTTTTAAAAATAATGAACATTTTTGCCTTCATTTACTTCAGTAATGTATGCAGATTAACACAAAATTAACATCTTAATGTAATAAAATAACTAAAATTAAACAAGAGAAAAATTCTTTTGCTGAAGATATTTTGGCTTTATCAGTTTTTACCAAATGAAGCAGAAGAATGCTTCAAGGAAGGCTGTTTAAGTTTAAATAAGAATCAAGTAACAGTTTCAAACTATTAATAAAAAATTCATACAATAAAAATTTAAAATTATACAGTCTCAAACTTTAAAATGTTTGAAACTGATACAATGATATCATAAATAATAATTTTAAAAGTTAAATGAAATAAGAGATTGCAATAAATTTGATACAGTGAAAAGAACTGCATCTATCCTTCAAGATTGATTAATGAAAACTATAAAATATTTGAAGATTACTAAACTTTGTCATTAAATATTTTATAATAATAATAATAATACTGTAATTAAGTCAAGTTAATGATTTATTAAATGACAAAAATAGTTAAAGATAATAATAAAATACAAATTATTCTATTATTTTTTTATTGTATTTTCATTGTGATCAAGAATTAAAAAGAATAAAATACATCCAGACAGAAGATTATATTCAAAATCTTTCAGATGAGAAAAAAATAAAAAAGATATTGACGTATTGTTACTGATCAGGTTTTGAAAAAATATATCTTTCTAATTTCAAAAGTGAGATTAGCAAAATTTCTTACCATACTGCAATAATACAGATGCTAAGATATCGTTCTGCTGAAACTATTGGCACTTCTATTTGCACTCCAGTAGTTCAATTTGCAATCCAAAAAACGAATTTTTAATTCAACATACCGGTATATCAAAAAATTATTTGCAAAATTTTTCCCCAAAAATAGAAAAGATTGAATGGACTAAGCACTATTACACATATTAACTATAATTTTTCATATCAAAATTTCTTCCTCTTGTATTTTTAGATAACATTAACTGTACAAGATTACATATGTATACTACACATGAATGAGACATACGATTACCATCCCCTAATAACAAACAATACCCTGAAAAAAAAAAAAAAAAAAAACTAATTGAAGAATAGATTTCTTCAATTAGAATTATTACATTTTGTTTTTCAATGTGAATATTAAATAAATATTTATCTACAAAGTTTTGTAGTAATAATACATATTAAAAATTCCCAGTTTCATATGAAATTGAGTTCTTCAAATCAAGACGTCAAGAAAAGTTTAATTCATTACAATGAAGAAACATAAGAGAGATGTCTAAAACAATCAGTTGTGCTATCCTAGCTTATGATGTCTTAAGAGAAGGAAGTGAAACTCCTAGTGGAATCATTTAAACAGTTTTCAAACAACAAAAAGCCTACAAGTGTATAAATTAATCCTCAGAGAAGCCTGATTTTTTTAAAAAAATTTATTAACTTACATAGAAAAGATTTTATGTCTGACTTTATTTACATAGAACTAAGAAAATATTAAAATAAAAATTTTTCTGCTTCTTTTAGCTTTTTATTAATTTATTCAATAAAGCATGCTTGAAAGTTAAGTTTATGATTATTTGTTTGGTCAAAATACCCTGCAACAAAAATAATGATATTCTGTTACAAAATATACAAAATACAATACAAAATAGAAAAGAATATACAAAATACCATTACTAAATCTACAAATATTTGATATATTTTATATAAGCACAATAGCAATAATGCTTTGTGATCAGCTTAATACAATAATAATATTTTAAAAAACAAAATTTCTACTAAATTTGTTGAAGTATTTATCTAAGTGGAAAAAAGTAATAAATATTAAGATTTGTTTTCTGATAAGAAGTTAAAATTTATAATGTATTAAATTTTATTAAATCATCCATATAATACTGTAAGCAAATTGAATGACATTTGACATAGCTTTATCAATCAATTTACCCTCTTTTACAATACCATTAGTTATCCAATATGTATTTTGCAAATAAAATTTGGTTGTTATTGTTCTTTAATATATATATAATAGAAAAGTAAATACTTTTTTCCTATATTCAACTGCTTAATACAGTAATAATTTTTTAAAATTTTATTAGCTTTAACATCTTTTAGCTTTACAAATTTTTTTGTACATTAATTAAATATTAAATAATTTTGTTCACTACATTTAAATATAAATGAAATATGTGAAAATTACAGATAGTAAACAAACATTCATTTATGCTTGATTTGAAAGTAATTCAGATTTTTGAAGAGGAACATATATACTTGCAAATGTCAGTTTTTCTTTCTACATAATGAAGTTTACATAGAATAATATAATGAAAATATTGATGATAATTTAAACTCCAGGTTATCAAATCATCAAAAGTAGAATTATCTACTCATATAGTAATTTTTTTTTATTTAATTGAATTTGAATTTATATTCTAATGTTTTCTTCTTTTTCCAGATCTGAAGATTGGAATTTTTGCCAAGCAAATCATTTGATAATTATCTACTACAGTTTGAGGTAACAGGCAACTAATAAGGATTTTAGAGAATACAGTATTTTTTCTTTAATATTTTCTAAATCTTGCAAAAATTACTCTTAAATTTTTAGATGTAAGGGAATTAGTTCTCCGAGTCTATCAACATTATTAATTAAAAAATATATATATAAGTCAACGAAATCTTAAATCAATCATAGAATACAAAAACACTGAATTTAAACTTTAAAAAATTCTGATGAAATTGAAAATTTCATCAGAATTTTTTAAAGTTTAATCAGAATTTCATTTATAAATTTAAATTTTTTCTCAATAAAATATTCAAAATTAAATGCGACAATTGTAATATTGAATAATTTATGTAATGTAGATTAAATTTGTTTAATACTTCAAAATTCGTGAACGATTAACATATTAATAATTTTTTGGTTTATTATTACAATAAATTTTATTCCACCGAAAATTAATTTTTGTCCAATCTATCGATTCATTTTGCACCAAATATTTAACTTGACTATCGATTTGACCTAATTCTCACAACAACAACATTTAAAATTTACTATTAAAAACATTCAATTAAAAAAAAGGAATTATTTTTATATCATTAATTTTACACATATTTCTGATGAGATATTTTTAAAATAATCTCAACAAATTTCAATTGATAGTTTTGTTCATAAAGATATAATATTGTTTGCTTCTCTTCTAAACATCATCGAATGCAGTTACCATGGTAACATTCCCGGAATGACGTCAGCAACAAGTCGATCGCCAAAAATGATTTCAGAAGGAAGTGAGGTTTTCTAACCCGGCTGTATGTTGACCTAATTTCATCCTAAGTCATATGTTAATGATCAGTGAACACTTTCTCGTTAATAACATCATAAAATAATTCATCGTCACATTCAGTCTCATTGAAATGTTAATTTAAACGCATTCTAAAAATTATATTAATAGTAATAAATTATGCAAAAACTATTTCTTTTTTTATAAAGAAAATTATTTTAGATCAGGGAAGAATATTTTTAGTTTAGATTTACTAATTTTATCTAAATTACTGATCAGTATTTAGATAAAAATAAAATTTTTATAGTAAAAAATTCAAATGTATTATTAAAATCTTACTTATAAAAGAAAATTATAAAATTAACTTATTTGATCAGTAAGTAAATTATAAAGAAAATTACTGATCAAGCCGTATTACATTACTAATAAACTGGGTTAAATCATTATTTTCATTTGAATTGTGATCTAAAACAACAATAATCGATTGACTGAGCGCAAAATATTTTTCATGGCCCACTAATAGTTATCGTCGCCATTAATGCATTTATAGTTATAATAATAAGAACGCCTGACAACTTTGTACGAGTATTTAGTCATCATATTATATTCATTCAACGAATTGAAAAAATATATCTTTATAAAACCGAAAATTAACTTAAAAGCGACACTAAAAAAATTTACATTTCATTTAAAAATATATAAGAAAAGCACAAACTCCGGGATACGCGAGTAAATAAATTTTATATTTTCATGACCATCCACGAAATTATTATTTATAATTTATAAATATCGTATTAAAAATTTATTATGTAATTCATCTGCTTGCTAAATACCGTATATAAACAGGATCAGCGCTGTCCTGACATCATACCTTTCCTATTTCTCCGGCTCTTCGAAAAGCTATTTGACTCAACTATTAAACAATGAAAAACTTCAAAATAATTACTGCGATGTTCATTTCCCACATATTAATCAATCGCATCTAATCCAAATAAAATAATCCAATTTCAAAATTTATTCTAAAAGCTATTTCTCAGAATCTAGATAAACAATAAACATTTTTACAAGACTCTAAAATATTATTTTCACTGCACAGAAAAACTAAATGTAAAGCACAGATTAAACATCAGTTAAAAGTACTAACTCTAAAATGTCATTAATCTATAGGTTTATCTATATTTAGCAGTTTAAACAAATTAATAACAAACAGATGTTAATATTGAGTTAGTACATTTATTCTCTCAAGTCCCAACTGGCAGAATATAAATCTAGAGGATACGGATGTCATCATGTTCATCGATGCAAAACTCTAAACATAAAAATTATTGCTACAAACATCCAAGAAACAATTTATAAAAATAATTAAAGTGTATTATCTGTTATTACATTATTCTCTCGATGTTTTCTTTGGTATATTATATTATCCACCGTACTGGTAAACTGCAATGAAATTTTTTCCCTATTCAATAGTCTCATCATAATAACTAGAAATGTTTATTTTCATTTGTTACGCAAGATGCTATCGTAAAATAATTAATACAATTACAAACAATCTTAATTTTATCTACTATAAGCAATCCAAATCTCAATAATCATAATGAAGGATGGCGATTGAAGCTCGATCCAATTACTTATTAAAAATTAATTGGATCAGATTAATTCTTTCAACGATATTTTGAGTTTGAATCTAACACGTACTAGAGCTTTAACAATGAATTCATTCGAAGAACTATAAATATTCATGTATTTTTGTGTAATAGTCATTTATGGAATTTTAAACTATTAAATCTAAAATAAACATAATCTTTAAACTCTAAAGCAAAGAGAAATGTAAAAATTTACAATTTAAATTTACATATACGTAAATACCACAAATTTTTACGGTGGTAATTTACTGTATTGGAGACGTTTTCTACTTTTATAAATTTATTTATTATTGAAATTAAAGATTTATCGTTAAAGTAGTAAAAAAAATAAAAAATAAAAATAAATAAATTGTAAGTTATAAATTATAGCTTTACATCTTATCTGTTATTTGGAGAATTATAGCTTTAACTTTTATCAAAACGTTTAAAGTACAGTACATATTTACTAAAATGTATTTTACAGATTGTTACAAGTTAAAGTAACTATACCAGATGTTCTCGTATAATTTTAGATTTACGATTTTCCTTTTTTAAATATTTATTCGAATATGTGATGAAAATAAACTAAACATAGTTATGACGGGTTTATAGGTGCGTGGATTTGCTAGCGCAAGTTCTCTCGCCAGTTACTTTTTACATACAACTTAAATTTTCTTTGCCAGTTTCATTTATCGACGGATCGTTCGAAACGTTCATATTTTGTCGCCAAAATGTCTCAGAAACTTGACCATAGTTAGGGTATCAAACATCCATTTTTGTAGCTGAACTGTTCTTGTCCTTTATCGAAACGAAAGGACGTAATTTGCAGTGGCGTGCCGTGACATTTGATGATAGGGAAGCTGTGTTTCTGAAAGAAGCCGACTTCTAGGGACAATCAGTTAATTGTGCGTCAGTGATGTTCTCTTAAAACAATCCACTTAGTCAAATAGCTCCCTACCAGTGGCTAATGGATGGAATCAGACACGGCTGCAGTGCGTGCATACACGCGGACTGCCAAATCCCCAGAGTGCCGATACCGGTCAATATCAAATGCCTCTTTTGTCGCACCACTAATATACCTCAAAGGACGCGACAGGGTTGTTGTAAATTTTAAACGTTTCTCACCATAGCTGTAAAAATCTACATATGTTAAACTTAATAGTCATTTGTTTTCTAACTAATTCGTTTTAGGACCACAGAAATTTACAAAATTTACAACTTTTCGGTCACTCTCATTGAACTGGAAAAATTTGTCTTTATTACGTCTAATATTACGAAGAAATCAGTCCCCACTGTACTCGGCTAGAGATTTGTTCGGTTAAGCTTTTAAGTAAAATTCCGGTTCTTTCATCAGGGTTTTATTTATGTCCCCAATTCCCTAATCTCTTAATTATTTAACTACTTCTTAAGTAGAAATAAGTCGAAACCGGTTACTTTGTTCTCGAATATTTGTAGTCTTGGAAAAAAGTGGAAAGACAAATTTCTATGACAAACGGATACATAAATCGTAAATTTAAGGAAAATAAATTCTAGAGCTTTTTCTGTGCCTCGTGCATCTCCCTCATTCATTAAATTTAGTTGTAAATGATGCTGCCAACGTAAGTTAATTTTTTTCAACATTGTACAAGAATTGTACACGTTTTTTTTTCTACATCCTCTTATAGATGGGAAGTACGAAATCGTAATATCACTGGTTTAACATTGAAATCCGTAAGTAATATAAGATGGGCGAGCGGAATAAAAATATCAAATATTTTAATGGATTTTTTTAAAACTCCTGCCAACTATACAGAACTATCATAAAAACATGTCAGTAAATTTCTATCGGTTGGTTTAAGTTATAAATCTACTCGTTATTCATGTAATCGGGCGAGGGAGGCCAAATATCAGGCAGGCGGCTAACAGCCCAGAACCGGAATTTCTACAATAGCAATCTTATCGTTTTTTTTCACGTGTAGTATAGAAATTTGTAATAAGATACATAATGCGGTTATAATAAAATATTAATTTTAATTAATCTAAAGTACGTTAAAATATGAAAATAATCGTGCAATATGTAGTCTATTTATTTTTTAGAAAATCCAAGGGAAGCGGCGCTTCCACCGCTTCCAATGACGGCACGCTACTGGTAATGTCCTTTATTTTAATTTTTCAATGCTTGTGTTTTGTAAATGGCAGTGGCAGATCCTTAAATACCAGGCCTGGCCAACTTAGTGGGATGTGATCGACTTTCATGAGTCAAAAGTATGTGACCTATGCATGTTTCATGAAAGCATAATCTCGTTAGTGTGGATTATATTATTTTTCAAAACAGCTGAATTTACGTATTGCGTAGTAATTAATGTTCCAAGTTCTCTCTTTTTAGTAAAGACACTAAAGTATACTGACACCATTTATTTTTCACAACAACAAAATTTGTATTTCTTTTTGTCACACAAATTGTAAGTTTTGCTACTCTTCGGCGCACTCATTTTTGCACTGAAATGAATTGTTTACGGTACAACAAAATAGTTTCTAAAATAATGACGAACCTGGTTAGCAACGACCATCGACACCAAATAACACTTCTTCCTATCCATCTCTGAGCACTGCCTTTTCAACCCATAGGGACTAGTTAAGAGATTTAAAATATCGGTTTAATATTCCTATTAAAATTGCAATTGTTTTCGCGTTTTAACGAGCCGTATTATCTGCGTCATTTGATCGATTGTTGGTTATGCCTATTATATACCAATCCCTATCTTACCCATAAAAAGCTATGGTTTCTATTAAATATTTTAATGGTTGGTTGGTTGATGGAATAAAGAAATAAAACACTGGGGGCGATCTCCCAAAAATAGATGATTCTGGGAGAGCAAATTCAATTGCAGAATATGTAGTGTTTTATATAAGAAGCGCAGAATATTTAGGGAAAGTATTTCGTGTATTTAAGCCATTCCGCGACTTTGGCACTCAGCCAAAAAAATTTTCTGTATTCTGGCTTAAGAAAAAAAACAGTAAAATTAGAATGCACACTTATTTATCAGGAAAAAGAGAAATTTTAAAAAAGTAATTTACAATTAACTCTTTCCATCTTGTGAGTACTAAGATCTTTTTAGCAAACCATTATAGATTCAACCTACTCACAATGGGCAGGCAGCAAAATGCAGGGGGACTGGACCCGCTACATCCGGATGGACAACTCCTTTAAAAAATTCCTGGAGGTTTTCGTCCCATTCAAATTCGCTCCCAGGTCCCCCAATACGGTAAGCTGCCACCTAACCATTTTCGGCTATCCGGCCTTTACGGAATTTGTTAGCCTGTAAATTAGATTGGTTAGTTGTTTATGGCAACGCAACACGTAGACAATCTCCCAGGAAGACTTTCAATAGGAAACTGCCCTATTTAATGTTACAAACGTGGAAAACGCCACGTAACCAGTCCATTGGTAAGACGCAAACCTACGACCATTACAGCTTTACATAAGACGCAGGGCGATTTTTGAGTTTTTTTTTTTTATGAACAAAGGTTGCATCTTAAAGGCTATGCCGTAAAATACAGTAGTTAAAAATTTAAACTAAAAATATGTAGTCTACCCTAACTATAAGTTATATGTATGGGGTCATTCAAATATGCAGTAGTAGATTACCAAATAGGCGCACGTCCAGAGCATCGTCGTCTCCAGGGACCTCATAATTACGTAGCAAAAAGTTAATATAACAAAAAATTTAGTTTAAAAAGCTTCATCATTTAAAGATTTTATTTTCTTTTTAATATTAAAAATAAAAACACATTTACATAAAGGGCTTTATAACAAAATTGCGCCTACAGCCTCAAAGAAACATAATATGCTACTGCAAATATGACGTCTGCATTGGAGGAGGAATATGAACAAGTTTCGATAACAGATTGTAACAGGAGGTAGGGAAGTGTAAGTAGAATAATGATGTCCTAAAGATTCTCAAAAATTTTTCTTTTTGAAATAATTTTTATCAAAATTATTATGCAGAAGTATTTCGAATAATGATCACACAGAAAGTTCTTACTTACTTAAATTATTGCACATTAGTAGAAGCGCTGTGCTAAATATGCTCTGATGGGAGCGTTTTAGTTGAGGCGGTGCGTTGGCGAATCCTCTTCTATGTGGCTTACAGATTTGTGTTCGTTCTCAAAATCTGTTCGATCGATATTGATTAAACTTTGCCATTTTCCACTAATTGCGACTAGGAATCAAAAAAATGCAATGAAAAATGAGATCCATAACTTCGTTTTCGAGTTATAAGATCGTTTCACGAGCATGCGCGACAAAGCGATATCGCACAAATCGCGCGGCTCTGTTGTGCGATGTTTCGCGGTCGCTATTACGTCCTCTACGAACTTCGCTATAGAGTCGAGTTCGTCCTCAAAATTTAATGGGGCGATTTTGATAAAACTTTGCCATTTTCCATTAATTGCAATGAGGAATCAAAAAATGTAACGAGTGTCCATTTAAATGTAAAAAATAGAGACTGATGAGTTTTCTATACACAGAAGGTTAAACTAACAATGCCCATGCTCTCTGATGCGACTGAGCGCGCCTAATGGAACTTATGCCTAGGGATCAAAAAAGAAAAAACAGCATTGCGTACGCTTAACGGAAAGTAGGCGCAAAAAAACGAACGAAACAAGAAGAAAGCAATTGATGGCGATTGCATTGTTCTTGGATCGCCTCTCCATGTCGGAAAGTGCAAGGATCGTAACTCCCGTGGCCAGCAGGTACAAGGATTGCTTCTTCTGTGCCTAACAAGTGCAGGGATAGCTTCTTTCTTTCCGGCTCCGCCTCAATTCTATCGCGATACGACCAAGTCGCGCGATGTCCTAGTAAACTTATAGAGGAGGTGCACTTAACGTCACACGACTCCGCTCACATATAGAGAGACTGCGCAAGGAAGCGTGCGCCATATTGGTTGCCGATTTCCATTTCTATGACTCATATTTTTCAAAATTAATTTCAATTTATTATGCGTAGTATCCGATTCCATAAAATCCTCTGTGTTCCTTCAGAATGGATACAGTGACACAATTAACTTTTGATCTAAAGGTTACAAATAAAATGTAGGATTTTACTTAATATTTAA